CCTCCCTGCACAGAGTAAAACTGGGAGCGCTGGGGGCCCCCTCGGTGCGAGTCCCCTCGGTGGGGTTGCATTTCCACGAAGAAAAAAGTGGTGTGAGCACCCTGAGGGATGTGTGAGCTGCAGTCCTGCGTGGGACAGGGCTGGGCTGTGTATGTGCACAGGGATGTGTATGTGCACACTGGGGTGAGGAGCGTCCCCATCCTGAGGGACACAGGCAGGCCTTTGGGGACAGGACAGAGGCAAGGCCTCATGTGTACTGATGTGCACATGAAAATGTAGCTCCGCTTGGAGAAATATGAATTTACTCTTTGGCTTGTAAAGCAGGGACTTAGTAGAGTTGAAATATGTTTTAAAGTAACCCAGAAAGCTCGGGCAGAAGAGGAATGTGAGCTTTAAGTGTCTAAGGGACTTTTTCCATTTGATCACAGAGCGGGAGTTGTACTGGCGGGGGGCTCCCTTCCTGCAAAGCTTGTTCACTAGGCTCATTTCTGTCCCCCCTGAACAGGGAAGGATGTGGTGTTATGAACAAGCTGAAACGAATAAGTAACTCTCAGAACGAACAATACTGGCAATGCCAGTGAAAGGTTTCCAAAACCCGTAACATTTTCCAGCTGCTCATTCTTAAAACATCAGGCTGGAGCTATAAAACTGCTAGCCACAGGTGGGTGAGAAGGAAAGACATCTCTGAAAAGGAGCGAGCCAGAACAGAGGAAAGCCTACCTCTCTGCTAGGTAGTCACAGGAGGCAGTACTATTTATTACTAGCAGCCCAAAAATCTGCCTATGTTGTATACTAGCTTGTTTAAAGAGGGCTTTGCAGTGGATCCTGGATTTATGGATAGATGGTGATCCTGTATTTCCATACACATGCACACATGACCTTCCTTCCCTGTAGCTAGGAAAAGTTGCTGGCCTTAGTTCCTGAATAGCCCTGTGTAAAGACAAATGACTCATTTTATGGAGTAACGGGGAGCAGACCTGACCCCTGCACGCGCTGTGAGCCCGGCAGCCTCTTGCCAGCGCAGAGCCGCTTGTCCTCAGGAGGCTGGAAATGCCGGTCGCTACCAGGAACGTGGGGCCCGTGGCCGTCAGGAGAGGAGAGTCCTTGGAGAGGGGACCTGTTTGACCCATGGAGGGGAGCCGGGGGAGGTAGGAGACTTGTTGGGAGGAGCTGATCTCCAAGTGGGGGGAACCAGAGTGAGAAGTGAGATGGGTCCAGGGAGCTGCAGGCCGTGTTTATGCCCTGATTCCTGCCCCATGCAGGGCTCTTTGAGTCCTGGGGGGCTCCTGGCAGGCTGTGGTGTAAGGGGAAAGTTCTCTGGCCACAGGCCATGAGGTCCTTTTTCTTTTCCATGGCCATCCTGGCAGGCCCCAAACTTGCTCCCTACCCAGGTAGGTGCAGGGCCTGTCCACACCCGGCTGGGCCGGAGGGCCATCATGTTTGTCTCCTTCCTCCAAGAAGGCTGCTCAAGCAAGCTCGAAGCAGAGGGCTGCTGCTGGAGGGCTACAAGCACCCGTGTGCACAGGACACAGGTTCCTGTCTGTGTTCTCCCTATCCCTCCCTGTCCTTCTCCCCAGGGACTTCTGCTCCAGTGCAACTGTTCCTGTCCCTTCCTCTGTTGCCAGCACCTGCCAGAGGTGCCTGAGCATCATCTGGACCATCTTTATATCAAAAACTAGGCTGAGACCCTGCAGCTTGTGTCCCTGGTGAGCACCCAAGGCTGCTCTCCCAGGTCATACAAGGGCCCGCTGGCTCTGAACTGGCGCAAGTGGCACCAGGGGAGCTGCAGCTGCTTCCTAGCCTGTGAGCAGAGGTTTGTGCAGCTGCAAACCCACCTCACACGGGAAGGGCAGGGTCCTCCAGCATCGCTGAGCAGCACCTCCCTGCACCAGGAGCTCGCTGCGGCCCATCTGCTCCAGCCCGCTGACCCTGCGCCTCGGCTCCGAGCTGCGTGTCTGCGCGCCGCTCTCCTCCCGCTCTGCCATCTGCCGCATCCCTGTGTCCTAAATCGCTGTCCCCTCAAACCAAGTGCATCTGCTTCCCCCCTGCAGCCCTGCCTCCAGCTGGAGCAGCCTCGGCCTCCATCTGCCCAGCACCGCTCCGGCACCCTCCCACACGGCCTTCCTCCCCGCGACCTCCTCGGCACACAAAGTTTGCCACCTGCACCCCTGGGCAGGCACCTGGCTGCAGGCAGGATGCCAGGAGGGAGCAGGCTCTGCTCCTTGCTGGAGATCTCCGTCTGCTGCAGGCAGGCATGAGTGATGCTGCTGTCCTGTGGAACTGAAGGGGTTTCCAGCTGCTGCCCTGGCAGTGGATGGAGCTGTGGTCCTGTGGGTCTCCTTCTCCAGGATTGTAGGAGCACATGTGTCACCACAGCAGCATCCTGTGCTGCAGGAGCCAGGGGACCCTCCGGGTGCTGCTGGAGCTGTTCTGCAAGAGCAGTTCCTGGAAGTGGCCTTGCTTGTGGGGCTTTGCTTGTCCCGCAGCCCATTTGCACTGAGCCTGTGCTATGCTGAACACCGTGTTGGCTCTGAGCGGCTGCAGCTCTGGGTAAGCCTGGTGTTGGGGCCATGCAGCCGTGCCCACGGCAGAGACAGCGGTGCCCATGGCGAAGGCAGCACACGTACAGAGCACTGTTGGTCTGAAGGGGCTCCGGATTTCCTGAAATTGCAGCTGGGTAAAGAATGAGAGGATGCCCCAGGACAGTGAGCACCGCGTGTTTCCAGCACCAACACCCGATTCCTCAGGGGAGTCCCCATGTCTGAGGGGGCTGGCAGCAGGGGAGCCCTTGCCCAGCGCTGGAGCCAGAGCAGGACGGTAGAGCAGCCCATGCAGGAGCCACCAGCTCAGAGGGCCCTTGAGGATGAGGATGCTGCCAAGGCCAAACACAGCTGTGCTGAAGAGTTTAGGGATTTAGCTGTGTTCCTGTAACCCAGCAGGCAAATACCTGGATCTACCAACACCAAGGAGGGGGCACCTCAGGGCTGGGATTTGCCAGCGTGATGCAGGCCAGGTCCCAGCTGCTGACAGCCTGGGCTGGCACCCAGAGGACAGATGGCAGCGTGTGAGAGGGACTGGACAGGGCTGGCCCATCTGGTGCTTTCCAGAGCTGCTGAGGTGAAGGCAGGTGAGAGACGAGGAGTGATGCAGTTCAATCAGCCTGGCTGAACCAGCAGCACCTGCCTGATCATGGCCTCCTGCACCCAGAAAGCAACCTGGGTGTTTGGGGACCCTTCGCTGTATACCCAGCCCTGCTCTTGAGCCCTCTTGCTGTCCCTTCTCCAGGTCAGTGCCGGCCAATGCCCCTTCCCAGCAGCTGTGCAGGTTGGGAGGGCCCTCTGGCTGCTTCCCCTCCCCTAGCAGTACTAACCGGGGCAGGCAAAGCCGGGGCGGATGGGGACTGTCGTTCCCCTGGGGCGATGCTCTGTGTCCTCACCAGTGCTAGGGGCAGGGGGTGACGGTGTCTCGCTGTGCTCTCCCCTAGGAGCTACTGTGCCTACGTGGTGCAGCGCAACGTGACGTGCACGCTGCAGGACGGCGCCGAGAGCTACGTCAAGGCCGAGTACCACAAGTGCAGCTGGGGACCCAAGTGCCCCGGCAAAGTGCTGTGAGTACCCGCGGGGCAGCGGGGGGCACCACTCACTTCCCCGGAGCCCTTTCCAGGTCACAGGGATGCTCATGGTCCCGGGCATGAAGGGGCACTTAGCACCCTGGGCTACCCCTTATCTGCCTTAGGGCCACAAAAGAGGCAGCGCTGGCTCCTGCCACAGGAGTTTCTGCAGAAAATGTGGAGGGGAGCACAGTGCCCGAGACCTCCAATTTGGCACCAAGGTAGCAGCTAGGTGAGAGTGAGGGGGAAAGGAAGTGGAGCCCGTGCCTGGGGCACGCCGAGGGCTTCCTGCCCCAGGAAAATATTTGCAAACTGTTCTGCCACCTAATAAACGCTGCCAGGAAAAGCCCCGCCGGCAGGAATGGGGCCACGGCAGACACTGGGGCTTTGTGCTCCACCAGCAGGCCCGGGCTGCCGCTCTGTGCCCAACGCTGCGGTCCCCCCCAGCAGCAGCCTGAGCGCCAGTGCAAACAGGGTTTGAAGGGGCTTTTGGCAGAGCTAGCAGGGCTCGCGCTGCACCAAGGGGCTGGCCCGGCCCCGAAGGGCTGTTGTGCCTGGTCCCTGATGCCTGCTTTCCCTGCTGCTCTGTGAGCAGTACTTGGGGGTTTCGGACATCCTGCAACCACTGCTTCCTGTGCAAGAGATCCGCAGGGCAGCTCCTGGGATCACAGCCTCCCTGCAACGTCCATGGGGACAGACCCAGAGCAACTGCCTGTGAAGTGGCCCTAGGAGCTAAAGACAAGGCCTGTTCCTCATCGCGGCGGCAGCCGCATCACGGTGGCAGCAATGGCAGAGGAAAGGTGGTGCCGAAAGGCTCAGTGTCCCTGTGCGAAGGTGGTGGGACACACAGAAGATGTTCGTTCCTCTGGCTGCTGTGCCTGGTCTCTGTTCAGAGCCTGGGCCCTGCTGGGCGGGATGGAGCCCCAGGCTGCAGCCCCAAGGGCTGGGGAGAGGCTGGGGCTGG